TTGTTCATTTTGCAGGACTCATTCTCAAATTACTTAGTGAGGTGATAAACTTTCTGAATCTCTGCATGTCTGAAAAAGTCTTTTCTTTGTCCCACTTGAGTGCTGATTTGGCTGGGTAAAGGATTCCAGTTTCAGCTTTGAAGATACTGCTCCATTGAGAAATCCAATGGCAATCTATTTTCCATTGCTTTATAGGTAACCTATTTCTATATGTAATCTCGTTTCCCTTTCTCCTAGACTTTGTCTAGGATGGGCTCTTTTTTCATTAGTTATTCTAAGGACTCAGTGAGTCCTTTTAATCTGAAAATTTGTGTTTTTCTTCAAATCTGGAACATTTTCTTCTTTTTTAAACCTTCAACCCTCATCACCATTCTTTGTGTTATTTCCATTTGTCATTCAAATATTGGAATGTCTGGATCCATTCTTGTCTCATCATTTTCTTTTTTGTTAATTTCCTATTTAGCCTTGTCCATTGTGCTATAAAGCAGTCCATAAATCTTTTCTTTTAGGGATCCCTAAATATTTCTAGCTCACTGATGGAATATTTTGTCCCCTAGGGCTTTTTTTGGGGGTGGGGGTGTTTATGATATCATGGGATTTTAGATGGAAGATAAGGCAGATGCATGTCCTCTGGTTTCCTTACCGATTCATATTCCTTGGTTATCTTTTGGTTTGTCTTGGTCCTTTATTTAGATTGTGCATTTTAAGGTAACAGCCTTAATACTATGCGTCTGTTATATACCCTTTAGACCACTGTTTCTGGTTTTCAAGGACCTTATAAATCTGGTTCATTACACCTATCCAATAAATACATCCTCTTCTTTAGTTTCCCAGCTCTTTTATCTCCAGGGCATCTAGAATATTCTCCACTCATTCAAGAAACCCCTCTCACCCTATCCTTTCCTGTCTTCTGGAGCCTAAATTGCACCTAGCTCAGCTGTGATTCTCCTCCGAGCATCAGAATTGCATGTAAATCCCCCCTCTCCCCCGCCAATAGACCTAGATCTACCGAATCAGTCTCTGCTGATCGGACCTGGGTATCTTTTTCTCCCCCTTAAATAAACTCCACAGGTGATTATGAGTCACATCCTGAATTAAGAACCTCGAGGTCTCCGTCTCCTCCCGGTTGCCTAGGGCGGGACGGCCCCTGCCCGGGAGGTGGTTTAAATTCTCGCTCCGCGGCCCCACCTCGCGTTTTCCAACCATGTCGGAAGAGGTAGGTGCCGGCGGTCCTAGAGGGCAGCCCACGCTGCCTGGGAGCGCCGCCAAGCGGCCCGAGACTGGGGCGGGCGTAGGAGCGGACCCCGGAGAGACCAGCCCTGGCCAACCGTCCCACCGGCCGCGCGCCCTCCGGCTGGAACGCAACGCCCAACTCGGGCTGGTGCGCAGGCGCGCGGCGGTCTCTCGGCAGCGGCCGCCCCGGCGCGGGGCGAGACCGTTCAGCGGCGGCCAGGTAGGCCAGCCACGCGGGTGCCCCACCTGCCTCCCTCCCCTGCACGTCCCCCCAGGCAGCTAGGATTAGATACCCGTTCCGGGGCGGGTGGAAGGACAGCCCCGTACCCCACCAGGCGGTCGCGAGAGATGGTGGCCGCGGGGAAGGGGACCCCTCGCCTGGGCGAAGTGGAGCCGGGGCGGGCCAAGATGGGGTCGTTGATTTGGGTGAGGAAAAAGTGGGGAGCCTCCCGTCGGTTTGGGCTGAAGACGTACGCGGGTGCGAGCGTCTTGGCGCCGTTTCCTAGCTTTGGGGAAGGCGGTTACCAGCCCTGATTCCGAGTCGGGCAGAGATTCAGACACGAAATTTGTAGTGTCGGGTAAAACCCCAAGCAAACCCGGCTTACGATCCGTTAAAGTGAGCCAGGTACTCGGACTTCACACACATTAGCCAGTGGCACTGATTTCTGGAGAAACACACGCTGGTTCATCTTGAGAGTTTGAATTGTGTGGGAACTTTGGGAGAAGCAAATTTCTGAGAGCTCTGACAATATTGCTTATGTTTTACCACCTTTAAAACTCGCATCTCAGTTTATATTCCACTCTTGGTCCTTTCAAACCTTTCTTTCCTTCCAAGTTCGGTTTGCCTGCTCTTCCTCACGAGCAGTATTTCTGTCTTAAATCCTGTAGGGTGCAATGTCTGAGCAAGAGCGCATACGGGAAGGCCTGAGGAAAGAAATACGGTCACTTCTCATGTCCGCCAGAGATGGTTTGACCCCACAGCAGTTGGAAAAGGAGTACCTTTTGATAGTTGGCAGTCATTTACCACTCCGAATCCTTGGGTATCAGTCCACTAAGGAGCTAGTGTTGGACATGCCTGATGTCGTCTGTGTGTGTCCCTGTAAGGGTGGTACTGTCATACTGAAAGGTAGGTTTAACAATTTAAAAGCCTTAAACTTTGTAAAAATAATCACTTACTAAAGAATTGTTCCAGCAATTATCCTTCACCCCAGACAGGGATTTTTTATTTTGTTGAGGGTGAGGGGCATCATAGGCACCTTTGAGGTTGTGGGCCAAGTTAAGAGCTTAAACAAAATCAGGAAACCTTTCCCTAGAAAAATGTACATTCACAAAAACCACAGTTTGCATGTGGTTTCAGATTATTTCACTCAAATCAGGAGAAATATAACAATGTGACTTTTTAATTATGAATTCATGCTTTAAATTTCATGAAGTCCCCAAAAAACATAGGGAAGTTTATCTCCAGAGTTTCAGATACTTCAGGAGTCAGTTAACAGTAATGATAACATATGGGGTTTTACCTTTCTCTTCATTCTCTGGTAGAGGAGCTGACAAGTTGTCTAAAATTCAAGATGTGGAGGAACCACAGATTCACGTTTATCATGCTTCCTAGAAACACAGTTCCTTGGAGAGTTAAAAATTGTCTATGTAAGCCACAGGTGCAAAAGATAAAGAAGGGAGTAAGTTTTCACCTAAATATGATTTCTTTTTTCACACCGCTTTAGCCATTCCAGATGAATCCACCAAAGGAATAGCAAGTTTAGTTGCCAAACAGAGGAGCAGCCATAAGGTTCAAAACTCCCTGCAGAAGAGAAAGGCCAGTGTTTGTTCTGGGCCACGCTCTCATCCGCTGGTACCTTATCGAGGAAGGGTGCCCCCTGTTCTTCCCGCTGTTGTGAAGAGTGAGTTGAAAGACCTCTTGGCGTTATCTCCTGTTCTCCTTTCTGATTTTGAAAAGGCATTTGCCAAGCGATTTGGGCGAACATTCCAGTATATGCAGTATGGATTCTTCTCTCTGTTTGAAGTGCTGAATGCTGCTTCAGATGTCATTTCTGTAGAGCAGACTAGAGCAGGTTCTTTACTGATGCTAAAGAAGAGCGTATCAGAGGAAAAGAGGAGAGGATGGCTAGCAGGTAAGCATGTTAGCATTAGTAACTGTTTTGTGGATCAGCAAATTTTGGAGCGGTTGTGGCCCATACGGTGGTATGTAATGGCTAAGCCCCAAAAGTGGTTGAAATTGAATCATGGCTCTGCCACTTGCCAGCTGATCTCTGCCAAGTTACTTAAATTGTCTAAGCCTTAGTTTCCTAATCTCTAGAATAGGAACAATAATAATTGCTTCTTGGAGTTGTGCTGGGGATTAAAGGATATGAGGTCTGTAAAGTGCCTGGCATTTAGAAAGGTTATCAGAAGTGGTAGCTGATCTTTGATATCCTAGCAGACACTGTAGGAATTTATATAGTGTAATGTTAACCACCTTGTTTGTATAGAATTTATGTTGGATTCTCATTGCTATACTATTGGTAGTAGCATGAGTAACCCTGTCTTACAGATAAGGAATCCAAAGCTCAGGAGAGTTAAATGACTTTTCCAAAGTTTCATGGCTAGAAAAGTGGTGCAGCTAGGATTAGATACCCAGCTTTTATCTTAAAGGCTCAGAAGACCAATGTGATTATTTGTATAGAGTCTCTCTAGACCCTTGACGATATAGACTTTATACACTGAACCTATTTGGGGAATTCTTTGCCTATTTCAGTGATTAAAATTTTTCTGTTAAATCGTCTTTAGGTGAATATAGATTAACCATGAGAATGTCATGGGTTTACAAACCAGTATTTAAACTGTGGTGGGAAATATAATTCATTGGGGATATGCTCGAGGTTTTACATTTTCTGGTCAGGGAAGGCTGTGGGGGCCACTAAGTGATTTGAATCTAACCCTTACCTGTGTCAGTATTCTTGAGGTGCTCAAGTAGGGAACCTAACATGCTGTTAAACTTACAAGAGGTTGAGTTGTGTAAAGCCATTTGCCAACTTTTTGAATAGTGGGGGTGGATATTCTTTCCCAGGGATTGGATTGTTCATGTTTCCCATCTGTGGCTTTCTCTTCCTATCATCAGGATACCTGGGAAGTAATTGTTTTTTTTGGTGAGCTTGATCATAGGGTAAAGAAAGAGCTAGGCCATGGTGAGGTACAATGAGAGATCTTTCATGTATAACAGAATAACACCTCTCCAGTGGTACCCCCTTCCCTACAAATCTTGAAGAAAAAAGTTTATATTCTAGAATAATATCCTTTATTCTGTTGTTCTTTGTTACCCAGCCCTTTTTACTCCCTACTCCCAGTAGTAGATAAGAAGGTGGTTATCCAGTTTGAGAAGCATGGTTCTAAGCAGATTCCTTACTTGGATATTTTTGGTCGCCTAACAGGATACGGCTTTTTAGATATTTACCTATTGAATCTTGCCTCTCTGTAATTATATTCAGGTGGCACTAACTAGCACTTTAAATGGCCCCAGACTTTTCAGTGACACTACTTACAATCTCTTGGTTTTCTTCAGTAGATGACTGATCACTTCCACTGTAAATTTTATTGACTTAATATGCAAATGAAGTTTATTTTCCATAATTTCTTGTTCTAAGTTGAGGGCAATTAGCTCTATGTATAGCCATCAGAAAATGACTAGTGACATTTTTCTCTCCTCTTCTTTTATTTACAAAAGGTAAAATTTTTACCCAGCCTTTTACAATGAAACCAAGGTCATACCCTACAGGCACCCCAGTAGCAAAGGCACAGCCCACTGCAAACATGGAACGACCGAAGCAAATACTGGACATGGAAAAGACTTTTAAGTCAAATGCACTGGTGACTTCAGGGCTGAATCACACTGAAAAATTAAACCAGGTGAGATATCTGAGTTTGGATCCAGTGATTATTAAGATCTGATGGAAAAACTGACCTTTTAAAATTGAAGTCATTCACTTATTTCAGATTTAACTTAAGCATTTTCTATGGTTTTGTGGATTAGTAAGAAATGAGAGGTGGCAGTGAGAAAAGAGCACAATTTTATCATCTCCACTGTCTCTACTACCAGTTTTCCCCACTATCCAGAAGTAGAGTATTCCTGTGAAACCGTTTGTAAGTTGAAATGGTGTAAAGTGAAGAAGCCACTTCATTTTATGTGGGAAGTACCACTACTTTATATGGGAAAATTTTTTAGTGTTCCCAGACCCAAAAATAACCTTTCCTAGGCTTCTCTGATACCTTATGACACATCTTAGTAACAGATACACAAAATAGATCAAGATAAAACACAGAAGTTAAGACATAGTTCAAAGCTCCGAAGGCTTGATGCTGAGATGCCGAGTGTGGCTCCCTGGGGAAGGCCCTTGGCGGGACCGCTCTCCCAGCTCGGGGGCCATGCTGCCTCTCTGATGGCTTCCTTCAAAGCAACTGCTGAATACTATTTCCTTTTGGTCTTTTTTTTGTTGAAAGGGAAACATCCTCTTTTGGTATTTTGGGTTGATGAAAACTGGTATTAATATACATCTTTCGTAAAAGTGAAGTGGCACAACACACACTTTGGAAAAACAGGGTAACTTTGAAGGACTTCGAATAAAAACTTATAAAATAGAACCAACAAAGACCTGGTTAAGTTACTAAGATAACAAGTTGAGCTCTGAAAAAGCACATGGAAATTAAATTCAGAACCTAGAAGTGCCCTATTTCTATAAATTAAAAAAATTTAACTTTAGTTACATAATTTACATATAGTAAAATTTACCCGTTTCAGTCATAGTTTGTTTTGACAAGTGTATCAAGTCATGTAATCATCAAAATGAACATTTCCATCATCCCCAGACAGTTCCTTCATGCTGGTGTTTAGGTGATCTCTTCCTTAAATGCAGCCACAGACTTAGAAACCACTGCTTTCTATAACTATAATTTTGATTTTCCAAGAGTTTCATATAAATGAAATAATGTCTAGCCTTTTGTGTCTAGCTTCTTTAACTTAGCGTGATGCTTTTGTAATTCATCAGTGTGTATCAGTAGTTTGTTCCTTTTTCTTGTTGAGTGTCATTCCACTGTATTGCTATACCTCAACTTGTTATCTGTTCTCATTAGGTGATACCTGGTTTATTACTTCTTGTTTAGGGTATTCTGGATAAAGCTACCCTGAACATTTGCATCTATTTTGTATGAACATAGAATTTTGTCCCTCTTGGGTAAATAGCTAGGAATAGGATTTTGGGGTCATACAGAATAAGTGCATGTTTAATTTTATACAAAATTGCTGAACTGTTTTCCAAAAAGACTATGATTTTACTTTCTCATGAACTATATTTTAGAGTTCCAGTTGCTTCTTTATTCCCATTTTTTATTGTCAACTTTTAAATTATTAGCCCTTTGAGTGGATGTGTAGTGGTAGTTCATTGTGGTTTTAATTGAAGTTTCTCTAATGATGAATAAATTTGGGCATCTTTTCATATGCATATTTTCCATTTGTGCATCTTCTTTGAAATATCTAATATTGAGTTGGAGGAATTGTTTGTATCTACTGGATAGAAGGCCTTTTTCAGAGAAGTGTCTTGCAGGTATTTTCTCCTGGTCTATGCTTGTCTCTTCTTTTCCTTAATCCTGCTTTTGTGCAGCAGAAGTCTTTAATCTTGATGGAATCTATTTATATTTTTCTTTTGAGTCTTATCTCTGCCTAATCCAAAGTCACAAAAACGTTCTCCTAGAGGGTTTTGATTTTAGTTCTTAGTCTCTTATCCATTTCAAGTCAGTTTTTGTATGGATCAAAGTTTTCTGCATATGAATAGCTAATTATTCCAGCGCTATTTGTTGAAAAACACTCTTTTCCTCACTGAGCTACCTTATTACATTGGCACCTCTGTCAAATCTATTGACCTCATGTATGTGCAGGCCTGTTTTGGGAACTCTCCGTTCTGGTCCATTGATCTGCATGGCTGTCCTTTTGCCAATACTACAGTCAATATCTTTTTAAGGCCTGTATGATCTATAGTGAAACTACTTCTCTCATTTCCTAATATTGACAATTTGTCTTTTCTTTCATTTTTTCATGATCAGTCTAGCTAAAAGCTAAAGATTTAACTTTTTTTCAAACAAGCAGCTTTTGATTTTATTGATTTTTCTGTTTTCTATTTCATTTTTTTCCATGCTTATATAAAGTTATTCATAGTCCTCCTGCCAAAAGATAGAGCTCACTCCTATTCCTTTCATAGTGATTCCCAAATTTTTAGATTTTTATTTTTCTTGGCATTTCCTGTGCCAGAGAGGCCTAATACCTGGCTGTTTATTTTCCATTGTAGGTTAGCTGAGTGATTATGCTTGCTAAATTCAGTAAGATTACCATGAACTATCTAAATTGTTGGTATTTTTCATTTTTATCAAAGAAAATCTGTACTCCTAAAAATGATTTTCGCCAAAGGTACCAATATTTTCTTAATCTAATAGTGTGTTAGTGTATTTTTTTTCCGTACATTCTGGTTATATAACCTTAGGATTCCATGTGGTTGTTAAAGAATCAAATGTTAATTCTTGAAAGATGCTTAGACACAAAAGTATTTTCTCTGACCAAAAAGGTGAACATGGACTGTTTCATATCCATTTTCGTTACAGGCAAACTTGAATTTTTAAAAATGTTTATTAGCTATTTTTATTTATTTTAATGAATTACCTGTTCTCTTCCTTTGCCTATTTTTGTCTGAAGATACGTTCATCTTAATGAATTGGAGAAACTTTGCTGAGTCCATATTTACTTAACGAAATGAATGAATTTTGACTGTCATCTGCTAGAAATACATTTTTCTAGTTTTTTT